AAGCTAGAGGCAGATACTACAGTGGGTTTTCGTACAGGGTCCACCCTCCCACTGCTCTGACCCGGGCTCCTGGCTGCTTCCCGTTGTGGTCCCTCCCAGCTCTTCCTCTTTCCCTCCACTGGACTGGGGAGCACTGGTGGCCTAAGTTGTCAGTCGTCCCTGCCACCTGAAGCTTCTCCCTTGCATTCCATGGAGTCTGCGATAGCTTCAGAGCAACAGGACAGCACGACCATTTTTGTGCATAGCTGACCCCAAATTCGCAAGCGCTCATAGCTTGCATGAGGTATTCTAGAAGGCGTCTGTGACTCAAACAGTCGAGAATCATTTCCTGGCAGCAGGTGCTCTGAGGGATCGAGTACAGCAAAGGAAATGAAGTAGCAGTCAGGAATCGGAGCGAGATATGTTAGGCACCCAAACACAGAGTGGTGTATTAAGCCAAAGTGCCCCCAGCCCAGGTGAGGCCATGCTGAAGCGGAAGAGAAAACGGAGCCAAGGAGGGATAGGATGATCTCAGGAAGGTCGTGTTGAGCTAGAGGAAGGTTCCAAATTCTTCTGGAATCTGAAACACCCCGCAGATGGTAGATTGCAGTTCCCTGCTGGAAAGCCCCAGAGCAGCCTGCCTTCCACACAGGCTGCTGAGGGTAGAACCCAGGTGAGGACATCGGAGTTCTGCAACCTCCGTTTTCCACTGTGGCTGGATGAGCCTGTCCAGCCATCTGGGAGTTGATGCTGACCCCTGGAGTTTCCCCTTCTCCTTCCTGGTCCCTGAGGCAGGGCCAGCGAGGACACTAGGGAATGGGGGGAGAGATGGAGAGGAAGGAGGAAATTCCCAGCATGGGCACAAAATCCCCTTGCCATCCTGAACCACGTGCACACCTGGGTGAGTCCCAGTGAGGGCAGGTAGCGCATGCCTCGTCCCCACCAAAGAGCTGACCAGACAGGTGGGGTGAGAGATGACCCTCGGCTTTTCACCTTTTCACAGGTCAGGTCTTGGGACTGATAGGCCCTGGGGAAGGTGTGATAGGAGGCCGGCCGTGACTGGAGCAGTGGGTTTTGAGTCGATGCTGAGTTTAGGCAGCTCCCTCACTCACGCTGTGTGCCCAAGCAAGCGTCGTAACCTTTTGACTTTTTCCATCCGCTCAGACACCTGCCTGCCTGCCTTACAGGTCGAGGTGAGGATTAAACAGGACAGCATATCAAAGGCTGCTGTTGAAGAATAGGCCCTTGGCCATTGTTCGTCTCTCTCTTACTGCCCTCCTCTGGACAGAGCCTTCAGTGGCCTGCCCTGTCCCGTGATACCAAATACCTCTGTGTGCATACCCCACACACACCTGGCCCTGGCTACAGTCACCTACTCCGCATATCCACAAAAGCTTGTGCAGCAGAAGCTGAGCTAACAGCAGGTTTCTAAGGGAAGGGAAGGGACTGGCTGATGACAGGTTGTGGAAGTGCTCAGCACAGTAACCTCACTCCATGGACCAGTGTCACCCCACGGAGGCATTCTAGAAAGGCTGTGACAAGAAAATGAGAGGTAGTTTGAAAACAAAATCAGAACCTCTCAAAATGCAGTTCTCCCCTAAATCAAGTTGATGGTGATTCCTCGCCTCCGAGTTTACCGAGTAGAATTGCTCTCCAGGATTCCCTTGGCTGTGCAAACAGTTTCCGCTTAACTACGCACCAAGGGTTTTGTAGTGCCTGGACCTGGGCTGCCCAAGAGAGCTGCTGCCCACCCCCTACCCCACCCCACCCCACCCCTGGCCACATAGGACGATCGGGCATCTGAAAGGTGGCTAATGAGACCAAGGAATGGAAATTGTAACAGATTCCATTTTAACTCAAAAATTTAAACCAGTACTTGAGTCAGTTCTTGGGGAGCTTTTAAGAATGTGTGGAACAATTTGGGTGTGTCTACTTTTTCAACAATAAATCAGGTATTTCTGGTGGACATGTCATGACCGAAATAAGATGTTTGGGAAGTGTAAAATATGTACTGGGTTTCAAAGACATGGGAGTTCTGGTGGCCCAGAGGTGAAAGTGCTCAGTCGCCACCCAGGCGTCAGCAGTTCACTGAGCTGAGGGAGAAAGGTGTGGCAGTCTGCTTCCATAAAGATTCACAACCTTGGAGATCTGACAGGACAGGCCTACTCTGTCCTATGAATTAGAAATAACCTAACGGCAATGGGTTTGGGTAACCGCCCTGTGGGGTTAAGGGTAAGAGGGAACCCCACAAAATATCACAGGTTTGGTAGGCGCAATTGTACAGCGATAATAAGTAGAGATTATAGTAAAGTCATAGAGAGCATGAGAGTTAAAGGATAGAGTCAAGTAATGGAGTCAGACGCAATTCATGGTAGCATATCTCACCTCCGCCCGGCTTGATGGTCCTCGTGGAGGGGGCTTAGCCATCAGAGAAGAAGCTGCTGCTTCGTCCTCCTTAGTCACCTTCTCCAGCCACCCTCTCGAGTACCAGGGAGCCTCAATATTTATTGCTAACCACGCATCATAGAGTCATACATCACAGAAAGGGGCAATACAATTCATTCTAGAACAAGTTTGATCACTCTAATGTCTCCCATAATAAAAACAGACAATTACTATTCTGGGAGGCATGCAAGTTCCCTGATAGTGGACAATAACCTGAGTCACCAGGAGGGATATTAACATAGGCAATACAAGCAATAGGAGGGGGATGACCTGGGGTGAATGTGCAATAGTAAGAGGAGGGAATAGGGAGGCATGTGTGGCGAGATAGTAGCCTAAGCTTAGTCATCTTAGAGTGGTCCCAGGCTTGCCTATGGGCACTGCTTCGAGGGAACAATAACAGAAAGGAATGGGCTTTATTTAGGGTGAGTCAGACTGATAGTCTAGCCACTACAGATGACTGATGTTAAGGAGAATAACCTCTGACTTACTTTCGCTGTCTAAAGAACAGTCACGCTAAAGCAGCTAAGTCTGGTACATATTTTGGGGAGACAACTTAAGAGAAATCCTTCTGTTCCCCACACCACCCCCCCCCAAGATTGGGTATGAAAAAAATAATGTGAAATCATTTCTTAATAATTAAACAAGTTGAAACTCTAATGGCTTTGATGTTAAGCGCCATTGCGCTGGCTCCAGTGTGGCCCTTGAACACCAGAAGGGACCACCACCTGAGCCTGCGCCGTCCTCACGAGGGTGATGTTGGGCCCAGTGTCGCAGCCCTTGTGCCGATTCCTCTCCCGGAGGGTCTTCCTCTCCTCCCCTGACCTTCTGCTCTACCGGCAGGATGTCCTTCTCCAGGGATTGTTCCCTCCTGATGTCCTGTCCCAAAGTACACGAGACCAAGTCTTGCTATCCTCGCTTCTAAGGAGCATTTTGGTTGTACGTCTTCCAAGACAGGTTTACTTGTACATTTGGACACATTCGGGCTAAATAAAGGCTATTGCTAAAATTAACTGCACCTGTTTTTCCACTGTTTTGATGTGGCTCTGCTGGAAAACTGGAAATTACGTTTGTAAATCTCATATTTCTGTTTGGCAGCACCGCTCTGCCGCTGCGTTGGGGCACAGGCAGCAGCATCTTCCTGCTAGAGATTCATTCGGCATCTGCTCCCCATGGTGCAGGGGGCTTCCTGGAGAAGATGCCAGGGAACTGCCGCAGCTCCCCGTGCCCTAACCTGCATTGCAGAGCAGGCATCTGGAGGGAGAATTGCTCGCACTGGACCTCAATCAACTGCCGCTGCAAGATTTATGGGAGGCACTGGAAGGCAATGGCCCGGGGAAACCTTTCTGGCGCCTTCTTCACTGGAGAGTGGGAAGTTGCTGGAGGCCAGTTGACTTTGTGTGTGTGTGTGTGGGGGGGGGGGGCGGTGAGGGGTTGGAGGCTCAGGGATACCCTCCCTGATTTCTCAGCAGTAGTCATTGGCTCCAGCCCCTCTCTCCAACTGCTGGGTTCCCACTTTCCCCTCCAGCCCGGCTCATCTTCCCAGCGCTGTTTGAGCTGGGCTGTTCTCCTCAGAGCAAGGACAGGAGCAGCCTGGATCAGCTGGGAAGCACATGCTGCTAGCGATGTTTGTTTGGTGGCGGGTGGGAGCTCTGGAGGGTGGAGGGGAAGGAAAGACACTGGGCAGATGGTGCTGCAGAGAGAAAGGCTCCCCAGAGCCGCAGGATCCTCTGCTGCTCATCCCTCCTTCCGCTCCACTCCTTTGCTCTGCCTGGCGCTCCGCACCCTCTGGTGATGTGCGAAGGCCCTTGCTGTCTCTCAGGAGCGCTCCGCATCACTACCTTTTTTTCCTTCCTGACTCTTTTTGGCCCTCCATTTGAAACACACTCAAATAGTGGCAGGCAGCAGCTCCTAAGACAGTGACCTCTATCCCGAGACAGCTTCCCACTGTGCTTGGAACTAGGGAAGCTGCAGAAGGCCCGTGGAAATTAACTAGGCAGGCAGTTCCTACATGGGAGGGGGCTACGGTGGAGGGGGGCGGCGGGGGGGTGGTGGTGGTGGTGGTGGTGGTGGTGTAGGCCTCTTCTTTGTCTTGTACCTCCGAGCCTGGTTGCTGCTGTCTTCCGGGGCTCCCTCCTTTGACAATGGATTCTTGCTGTTTGTCATTTTCTAGGAGTTCCCTTTTTTTTCTCATGCTTTTCCCCAGGGCCCTTGGGAGCTGTAATGAATAATAAGGAAATCCCATCCAGAAAAGACAAGACTGGGGGAGGAGCTGTGGGAGCCGGGGTTGTGGTGGGGTACCCTAGGCCCGGATTGCTGCCTCTGGATTCCCTGCGAGGCGGAGGATCTGCCTTGCTCCGGCTCCAGGGACGGGGGACTGAGACTGAACCCAGACAATGGGCACCCTGAACACCGTAGGATGGCCTCCGTGGTCCGAAACCACTGTTTGTCAGGTAAGCCATTGGGATACATGATCCGTTGGGGGGGGGGGCGGTGGGCAGGAAGGGCAGGACAGGAAGATTGGACAACAACCAGGGGCAGAAACAGACGGAAGGAAAGAAAACTCCAGAGACCGTGTGTATGGTTTGGGCAGCTACGGCCATGGCTTTGGGCAGCAGGTTTAATGATGTGAGAGGCAGAGGCGCATGCAGACGGTACCATTGTGTCCTCAGACCCCCCACTCCCCATCCCACACTTGAGCCCCGCTCTCAGCCTCAGGGGTTTGGGCACTGGGTGGGGGGGCGTTGGGGGGGGGCGTGGATCTGACTTGGGAGATGCAGGCAGGACTCCCCTGGAGTAATCTAACAGGCTGGCAATAGTACACTTGGGACAAGCTCCGAGTGCGGATGCATGAGGAAAGCCTGGTGCTGAGACTGGCGCCTGGGTGCCTGGGTTCTGTGCCCGGCTTTGTGAGTGTGGTGTCGGCGGGGTTGCAGACCGGCTGGAACCTCTTCAGCCCTCAGGGATGGGCTGGGGATGGCCCCCTCAAACTCTGTCCGGAGGTATCATCACTTGCTGGTCTGACTCAGGCAAGAGGTGTCAGAGGTCTGTGCTTGGGGGACGAGGTTTATGATCAAAGTGGCCCTGTCTCCTCCTGCACCTCCCCCTTTGGCATCCGAAGCTGGCTTGACTGGCCGCTGTTTGAGGGCAAAAGTCAGAAGAGCTTAGCAGTGACCCGGTTGCCTCCGGAGTTATTATCCCCGGAGGGCCGGGGTGCCACGAAGTCAAAGGTCATGTGGTGTTTGACCCGGCCCTTGCCCTTGCTCCAGAGGGCAATGAGGCCAAAGCAGAGGGTCACCGAGGTGAGGAAGGGCAGGAAGCCCACCGCCAGCACCATGGCCACCCCGCGGCTATCCAGGGAGAAGGGCCCTGGGATCCCTGGCGTGGTGATGTTGGGGTCAGAGAGGGTGCCGTTGGGTGGTTCCACCTGGATGACCTCCAGCCAGGTCCTCAGGGAGTCGTTCCCCGCCACGTTGCTGACCATGCAGATGTAGGGGCCTCGATCCCGCAGCTGCACGGAGCGGATCTCCAGGGTCCCGTCCTCCAGGACCCTTACCCTGCCAGCCCTTCCCAGCCAAGCCCCCTGAGGCCTCATCCAGGAGACCGTGGGGATGGGGTCCCCATCTCCGGAGCAGGAGAAGACGGCATGGCCCCCTTCCTCTGCAATGACCCACCGGGGCCCAGACTTGCGGATCAGCGCCGGCTGGCAGGTGAAGTGTCCCGGAGGTAGGATGTCAGAGAACTCCCGCAGGCTCTTGCCCTGGACGTGCTGGGGGCCGGCACAGGCCGGAGGCGATGAGCCAAAGTCCAGCCGGCGCCGGAGGCGCAGCAGCCAGAGGAGGCGGCAGTCGCAGGTCAGGGGGTTGCCGGACAGGCGCAGCGTGACCAGCTTGTCCGGAGACGGGAAGGCGGTTTCCTCCAGCGTCTGGAGGGCGTTGTCTTCCACGTCCAGGAGATGGAAGGCGGTCAAGCCGTGGAAGGCGTGGGCGGCGATGGAGTTGAGGCACGCCCCAGACAGGCGGAGCTCCTGCAGCCGCACCAAGGCGCTGAGCGTCCGCGCGGGGATGGCCGAGATGGGGTTCTGGGAGAGGTCCAGGACTCGGAGGAAGCTCAGGTGGTGCAGCGCCTGGGAGGGCACGGAGCTCAGGTTGCAGCGGGTGATGGCCAGGCTGCTGAGGTTCAACCCCAGCAGGCTCCCAGGCTCCAGAGCCTCTAGCGATGGCCAGTGGTGGATCTCCAGCTCCCGAAGCTGCCCCAGCCCCCGAAGCGCCCCAGCTGGCAGCCTACCGATGTCCAGTTCTCGAAGGCGCAGGGCCGCCAGCCCCGGGAGGCGGGCCAGGGCCAGGCCGGGCACCGTGCTGAGGTTGCAGCGCTCCAGGGTGAGGGTGCCCAGCTTGGCCAACCCTGCAAAGGCCCCCGGGGCCACAAACACCAGGTGGTTATCCCCGACCTCCAACTGCTGAAGGCTGCCCAGCTCCCCAAAAGCCCCATCCAGGAAAAGGACAATCTGGTTGAGGCGGAGGTCCAGCAGCGTGAGGGCAGATAGGCCGGAGAAGACCCCCGGCCCCAAGATTCGGAGCCGATTGCCCTGCAGCCTCAGGGTGAGCAGGCTCTGCAGGCCGTGGAAGGCCCCCGGCTCAAGGGTGGAGAGCTGGTTGTAGCTGAGGTCCAGTGCCCGGAGCAGGCCCAGGCGGGAAAGCATGCCGCGCTGAAGTCCCCACAGGCGATTCCCACTCAGGTCCAGGAGCTCCGTGTCCAGCGCGAGCCCCCCGGGCACAGCCTCCAGTCTCCTGTGGTCGCAGAGCACGGCGCGGGGCTGGGAGGTGCAGTCGCACACGGTGGGGCAGCCGCCACTGCCCGCCCCGGGCAGGAGGAGCAAGAGCAGGAGGAGTAGCCCCGGGGGCCAGGCCAGCTGGGGAACTGCGATGGCGTCCATCCCCTCTTCAGTCCTGGAACAGATGACAGTATGGCCCTGTTTGGAAGGTGACTTGAGAGGATGCTAACCCTGGGTGTCCCTGGGCCTCCTCAGAGCGGGCAGAGATTGGCCTGTCCATCTCGGCATGGCCAGCAAGTGGATGCAGGAGCAGACAGGAGTACACCATCTCACCAGCTGGGGGGGCCTGCTGGGTTGTCTTTGGGGAACCTGGGTTTTCCCCTTCCAGTCCTGGAGAGCATCCCCAGTCTCAGTAGCTCCCCAGTCAAATCTGCTCTCTGTGGGGAAAGGTTTATAGGAACGGGGTGGGAAGCCACGGGGAGGTGACTGTGTCCCCTGCAGTGGAGTGTGAAGGATCCCTGGTGGCACAGGGGGCTAAACATTGAATCAGCTGCTCAGACCCACCAGCCGTTCTGCAGGCGAGAAAGATCAGATGGACAATCGTGGATGACCCATGGGGCAGGTCGTTTCTGCCCTTTGGGTCACTACTGAGTTGGAATTGATTCAGCAGCAGTGGACGTAATGAGTTTTCCCCTGTGTCTGTGGGGTGGGGAAATAAAAAGCTCAGCTCTTTTCTCCCTGATAGCTGCTCTCTCCAAGCTCCATGCAGGCTCTCTGCCCGTCCTCCTCCCCCATGTGACCCTCAGTGAGACGTGTGAATGTTGCATTGTGTCTGCCCATAGCTTTGCTCCTGAAGGCTCTGGGGGTTTGCGTGGTCTTGGCCCTGAGCTCCCTGTTCCGATTGGGCCCAGGCCCTGATCTTGACTGAAGTCATCCAGGGCTGGGGAACAGGCATGGCTGACCGTGGTCTCCTTCTTGCCCCACAATCCCCACCTACTGCCTCTGCCTCCTCCCGCTTGGCCTAGGCCTCAGGCCCTGGACTAGCAAGACCCAGTCTCCCAGAATGCCTGCATGGATGGCAGCCAAGCTGCACATCAGCCACGACAGAGGATGTGGGGGCCAGTTGGCTGGGAGGCTGGGAATCCTTTCCCAGGACTATGGAGCCACAACCTCCAGAGCAAGCCGCTCCTGGCTTTAGGTAAAGGGCGGACTGTGTGAGGGGCGGGAGAGATGCCCAAGTCTTGAGTTTTGTTACTTAGTTCTTAATCCTAGGTTTCTCTGAGTTCCCTCACTCGTGGAAGGTTGTTCTTTTAATTTTGAAATTTCTTCACTTTCATCATAAAGAGAAAAGAATATCACCACCGATGTGTGGAGATGACAGGAAATTTTCTTCCCGACACAGCAGGCGTGCATTATTTTCCAGTGATTATCCATGTCCATCTCCTTACATTATCCTTCTTCCTTACTTTAAACAATATTGAATTGTTTTGTAGGTGAAAGTTTACACTGCAAATTCCATTCCCCCTTTAACCATTTTTATACAAATTGCCTGTGCCCTTGGTTACAGTTTTGTAACTCGTGTCCGCACTCATGATTTACGTTCTGCGTGCTGTTTCCATAATCTAGTTTCCCGTCCCCCCCTTGCCTTTTCATCTTTGTTTCCGGGTGATGGTTCCTAGTTTAAGGGAGCACCTTACTTATGGGTGATGGTATTACTGGAATAAACCAATCTTTCATATGGCTGAAAGATGCCTTGAAGAAATAGCTTTGACTTCAAGTCCAAAGGGCATCTTGGGAGATAGTTTCAGAGGTTTGTCTAGTTTATATCAGTTCGGTAGATCTTGCCTTTGTATGTGCCCTCAATAAAATGATTTTTAAAAAAGAAAGAAAGAAATTGACTTTGGTTCTATTATTTCTCTCCCATTGTATCTGGGACCTGGTCAAAACAGTTGGTCCAGGTAGCTGGGCACCTCGAGTAATTCTGTTCTCAAGTGAGAAGAGGTGGTGGTGTGGGGGCTACTGTTCCCATGGACCACCTTCTTTTAGCCTTCGGTTTCCTTCACTTCTTTTGCTCCATATGAATGGAGCCCAGTGACTGCGTCTTAGAGGGCCACTCAAACACTTTGAAGTCCCTCAGAAGCTATGCATCAAACCAGGATAGAGAGCATTATCTTTGTGAACTATGTTATGCTAATTAACTAAGCTGTCCCCGGACACACCGGAGTTGTGCTTCAAGGCCAGGGTGTGTGTCTGAGGGTGATCTTTTGTCCCCTTTTGGTATCGGCTACCTGAGCGACACCCAAGAGCCCGAGTATGGACCGAGGAGACACAGATCTGCGAGGAGAGGCCCTTTCTGACCAGATGCTGTGGTGTGGGCCAGAAGGGAGCTCGGTTGGCACAACAGCTATCTAGCCATAGGCAGTCTGCAGAGCCTATTGACAGACACTGAGTTTTTCTGGGTACCAGGAGCCAGGGCAGGATCAGAAAGATGGTGACCATGGCGGCCACTGAAGACTGATTGAGGTGATGGAGGAAAAGGAGCCCCACTGGCAGCGAGAGGCCCTCATCACACCCTGTTCACTGCCAAAGGGCCTCCAGGGGGAGGGAAAGTATAATTGGCAAGGAAAGGTTAAAAAAGAGGGCGGTGCCAGCACCAGCTGGTGCTCCCTGGGAGGGCTGCTCCCTAGCTGTGGGTCTTGACCACCTTTGGGCAGAACCCATCTTGTCAGGCTCTCTGGGCCCCATGGGGCCAGCTTCCAACACTCCCTACCCCCCCCCAATGTACTTAGGAGTGGTAGGTTTAAAAGACAGTGTGATTTCTGCCTCTTTCCTCCCCACTCTCCAGCCTAGAAGGGCTGCTCTGGCGGCTCCCCTGAGCCACTTCCAAGGACTCTAGTCATTGGGGGAAATGGAAGGAGCAAGTCCAACGGGCAGCACGAGGGATGGCAGAGAGAGCCGTGGACATGGCTCAGAGTCACCGACAAAGAACGGCCGGAGGCGAAGGCTGCTGGGCAGCCTCCTCCTGCCTCTGCCCCAGCCTAACAGGTGCCTCTAGCATGCTGAGGGCTCTCCTGGGAAAGAAACACTCTAACATCCTTCATGCACCTGGTGCCCCTTCCGGGAAGTCCATCTGACAGCTAGCTCTCCGTCAGGGCTGCTGCAGTTCCTGTCTGTCCTTGCCCTGCACCCAGCAGAAGTGCGCCGCCCAAGCATGTAACCCAGTCTCCCTCCTTCCCACTCCTGTGAGTTTCTCCCCATCCCGAAAAGCCTGCTGGGCCAGGGGCTGGGGGGCCTAGGGCCTACCTCCTGCCTATATTTATAAGGTGGCTAATTTAATCACAAACTTTTCTTGCCAATCCCCATGGCGACAGGACTGGCTTCGGTCCATTTGCAGGAAGAAGTAAGTGTCGGACTCGCTCCTTTCTTTCCTGGTGGTGGTGGTGGTGGTGGGGGTGTCTGCAGCATCACCCCCTCAAGGAATGAGAGCTTCCCTCTCCTTGTCCCCAAGTAGTGTCCAGAGACACATTTGAGCCCTGAAGGCATCTTTAAAAAACAACAACAAAAAAAACAACAACTAAGGCATGGGGTCCTGTGTGGGGAGGAGGCTCTTGGGGAGGGAGACTTGGAATCTTCACACTGATTGCCAATAACCCCCAGCCCACCCCCAGAGCTGGAGTGAGTGCTGGGGAGACGAGGCCAAAGTGAGCGAGGGGAGGGCTCCTTGGAGTCCCATTCAAGTCCTATGGGGACCCCCATTGATGGTGGCTGGCGGTGGGGCTGGTGGCCGTGGTACCAACCCTTTGCCTGGCCTCCTTTCTGAGAGTGCCTGGGGAGAGAGCAGCTGCCGCCTTGGGACAGGGGCTGGGGGCACTTACCGGAAAAGCAGGAGGGCGGCATCAAGTTGGGCACCACATCCGCGCAGGGCTGGGGGCCCTGTCCCATCGGACCCGCACCCTGGGCCCCTCACCTCCCGGCCCACGTCTCACTCCTCACTGCCCGCTCGGCCACTGCTGCTACTGCAGCTGCGGCTGCCAAGACAGAGGGACCAGACCGAGGGAGAGAGAAGAGCCAGCAAGCATTTCTACTCTCTCTCTTTTTTCCTCCTCCTCTCTCTCTTTTTAAACCAGGAGAGAATGAGTCTGCAGCAACCCTGTTGGTGCAAAATAAATAAATAAAGCAACCGGCAGGTAGGGAGGGCTGCAGCAGGCGCTACTACGGTGGGCGAAGGGGGTGGGGATGCGGGGTGGGGTGGGGACTGTCGCCAACAGAGGCAGCTGGGAAGCTCCAAGGGGCTCTCCGACCTCCCCCCTCCCATCAGCCAAGCCTGCCAGGGGGCTGTGCTCCCGAATGCCCCCCACCCCACCCCGCCCCCGTGTGGGGAGGTCCTGTGCGATCCATCGATCTCTCAGCCTGAAGTCCCCTGCTGGGGGGCGGGGAGTCTTCCATGGGGAAATCCCCAGGCCAGACATGGGACACCACTGCTGCTGGGTAGCTCAGCTGAGGCTCCCCCAGCAGGCATGCCAGAGCCCCCTTCTCTCAGCCTCAGTGGGAGAAGCTGGGTGGGGGCTAGAACCCTCCTGAGTTACCATGTGGATGGATTGGCTGGCTGGAAAGTGGGGTGTGGGGGACAGCCATGTAGATCAGTTTTTTCAGCACTCCGCCCCCCCCCCCACCCGTCGTATACCCCTCCCACCCCCTCTGTCTAGAATCCTTTCATAAAGAATGGCACATGTTAGATCCCTGACCCCAGACCAACAATGCAGCGGCCCTCCCCCCACCTGCTGTTCCTCCCTCTGGGCAGGGAGGGCTCACAGTTAGAAAATAAACCCAGTCCTGGGGCCAGAGAGCAGGCTGGAGACCAGGCCTTGGCCCTGGACCCTTCCCCTCTCGGCAGTCAGAGGGTGGGACTGTGTCTTCGGCCTTCTTCAGCATGGGGGCACGGCTGGAGGGCAGGGCCGGGGAAGTCCCCCAGGGACCTGTCCTTGGCCTCCTGGCCAGTGTCCAGCCATCCCTCCTCCTCTTGGGGTTGCTTGTGGTTGGACACGGCGCTGGCAGCTGGGAAAGCGTTCACCCCCCCCCTCCATCCCGTCTATTGGTGGACAAAGCATGACTGAAAGCTGGGAGGTGGGGGATGTCCCTCAGGTTGGAATCCTTCCCTGAGGCCACCCAGCTTCTCACCGCTGGTCTGAGGCAGGGGTGTCTACGACATGTGTCTACAGAGCTGCGTAGTTGCAGGGTTCCCAGGAGCCCCCGTGCTCCCCTGAGCTGCGACTCCAAAGATGAGAGACCCCGTGTGTGATAACTAACTGTGTCTGCCCACCTGCACTACGGCAGGCTGCGTCTGCATGCGCCTCCCCTGGGTGTGGATGGGCCATATGACCCTCCGTGAAGTGACCATGAGGCACGTGGTCTTCCAGGTTCCCTGTCCCCACGCCCATCGGACCACCACCCCAGTTCCTTATGTTCACTGCTCCCACCTTTACCCTCCACACCTCAACAGATCTAGTTTTCTGTCTGTCTGTCTTTTTTTTTTTTTTTTCAAGGCCTGGGAACAGGGCAGGTGGATGCCCAGCAGCTGCTCCCCTGCCAGGCTGGGAGGAAGGAGGAAGGAGGAAGGCAGGAAATCTGAAGATGCCGATTTGTGTTACGGTATACACAGTTCCTTCTGGGCTTCCCCTGCCGCCGGCTGGCCTCTGAGCTGGCTCCGTCTCCCCAGCACACAGCCCACAGGGAGAGGCAATGAGGTATTTCAAAGACCCGTTTGTTCACTCGTAGCTCTGGAGTCCACAGTTGAGATGCCTTCATCCAGGGAGGCCTGGACGCCCCCTGGTTGTCCTGAGGATGCCCTCCTAGAGGTCCTTCTATCCCAGTCCACTGCAGCCCTGCCCACTCCCCCGAATCTGGGGGCGAAGTGGGAACAGAGACAGAACGGAGCTGAGACCAGAGCTGGTGTCCCTCCATCTACACCCGCCAGCCGCCAGCTCACTGCCTGGCAAGTGTGTGGGCAGCAACCAGTCTTGGCACTTGCTCACTCCCTGAGAACCTGTGGGGACCACCCTCCAGGCGACACAGGAAAGGAAAAGGCTGAGGAAGAAGGCGGTCCTGGTAGGAGGGCCAGGGGGCTCTGGGGCAGGTCACTGGGCCAGCGTCTCTGGGGCCTCCGTGTCAGTGCTGAAGAGTTCCTTGTAGAGCGGGGGGAAGGCAGCTTGGACCACGATGGGGTGGAGGTGCCGGAAGGTCTGCAGCTTTTCCATGTGCTGGCTGCACAGGCTCCGCAGCTTCCCCTTGGGCGGCAGCTGAAGCAGGGAATAAGGAAGGCGGGGCCGCCATTTCAGCCCAAGCCACCCCCTCTCTCTCTCCCCAGGGCAGGAGATCCTCTCCTTCTTCCTGGGCTAAGAGACCCTTCCTTGCCACCCCCCACCCCCACGGCACTTCTGGGGCAACCTGAAGGGCATGGATGGGCTCGGCAAACTGGAGACAGGTGAGAACTGGTGTGGGACAGACAGGTGCATGCTGATGTCAGGCTCCTCTACTCCTAAAATAAGCTGACTGCTGACTCCTTAAGGAGCCCTGGCGGTGTAGTGGTGACAAGTCGGGCTGGTCAGCTCTTGAAACCACCAGTCACTCTATAGGAGGCCAGACGGGCTTTCTACTCCCAGAAGGAGACGCAGTCTCAGAAACTCACAGGGGTGGTTCTACCCGTCATCGGTGCCCGCCGGGGCAGTGAGTTTGTGTTTTTTGGTTTGGCGGTGTCGTGGGTTATGTATTGGCTGCTAACTGCTAGGTTATCGGGTTTGAACTAGCAGCCACTTCGTGGGAGAAAGACGAGGCTCTCTGGTCCCGTAAAGAGTTAAGCCTCAGAACCCCACAGGGGCAATTCTACTCTGTCCTATAGGTTTGCTATGAGTCAGCATCAACAACTCATGGCAGGGAGTGAGGCAGGACTTGCGAACTCATACGTTATGCTCACCGTCGAGTGCGTTTCTGTGACATTCTGCATGCGTTATAGGTTGCCCTGCAAACCATGAGGTTAGCTGTTCGAAACCATCCACAGTTCAGAGGGAAAAAGATGAGGCTTTCTTTTCCCATAAAGTTACAGTCTTGGAACCCCACAGATGCAGTTCGACTCTGTCCTCCAGGGCCACAGGAGTCAGAATGGCAATGGCCGGGAGATGCCTCTGCCCTGGTACATGCCGCTCCCCTGACCTGGAGCGCCCGTCAGCCCTGCTTCTGCTTGGCTGGTTCTCCTACACCTTCAAGGGTTCATGCCCGTGGGAACCTTTCTCTAACCACCTCAGTTTGGATTAAAGGTGTTTTTCTGTGTTACACTCACCACATCATAGTACAAAGATCCGATTGTCTGCCTCCCCCCCTCGTTTAAACTCCCGAGGACTGGGGCTTGTGTATGTTGTGTCTGTCTACAACTCCCTGTCCTTTGTCCCCATCACAGTGCCGGGTACTTGGCAAATGGTCAGTGACTGTCTCTTTGAAGGAAGCAGAATTTCGGAGCAGGGATGAGGATGGCAGGCAGCCTGCTGGCAGCTCTCTGCCGGAGGGGAAATGAAAGGGCAGCAGAGCCCGTGGAGACAAAGGAAGACCTCACTGGGGAAAGGCGAGGATCACCCTCTACCTGCAACCCGTTCCTATATAACCAAGTGAAGCTCAAAAACCCCTCTCACCAGCACCCCACCCACTCTCCGCCCACAGCTAAGCATCTTAAAGCTGAGGCAGGGTGGGAAGCCCTTGGCGTCTCTTGAATTCCTGTCTTTTCATCCCTGCTGTTTTACTTAGAAGAAGCCATCGTGGCCAAGTGGTTTGCATTGGGCTGCTAACTGCAAGGACAACAGTTGAGAACCACTCCAAGGCAAGGTCAGCCACTCCGAGGGAGAAAGAAGACGGGGCCTTTAACCCCACGGACAGTTACGGTCTCGGGAACTGGGTGGTGGTGGTGGGGGAGTTCTAGTCTACCCTGTCCTGTGGGCTCGCTGTGCGTAGGCACCGACTCATGGGAATGCGCTTGGTTTGGTTTGGTTTCACTTGGAGTTGCACTGGGCAACGGCAGTAGCTTCCCATCATCATTCAAGTTACTTGTTGAGCAACTCCTCTGGGCTGGACACTGCGATGGGCTCTAGGGGTCCATCGTTTGGAAAAAGAAAAAAAAAGAAAAGAAACATCTAGACTTCCCTTCAATTTAGATTCTGGTGAGGAACGCGAAATGAAAAAGATATGTCAGATAATGAGTCATATATCAATAGAACCAAAGTAGGACAAGGGGCAGGAGCCCCTGTATGTGGAGGAGGCAGAAGCCTCTGTGTGTGAGTGGTCAGAGAGACCCTGTCCTGCTGGAGAAAGCCCCTTGAAAAACGGATGCAGGACGTCTGCAGGCAGCTGCACCGGCAGCTATCAAAGCCCCTGATGGGGCTGGCTTGAGAAAAGACGGCAGTGTGGCTGCAATGGTGCCGGAGGCGGCAGGGGAGACAGAAGTCAGGACACACGCCCTGACCACCACTGCCCATGTGCTCTTCGTGTGAAAGGCAGCAGTAGGAGACTCGAGGACTATAGGGCCACGTGTGGCTGTGCCCATCTTTAAAAGAGCCAGGGTGGCTGCTGCAGGGCCAGGAAGGGTGGAGTCGGGGGCCACCTTAATAGTCCACCCAGGGACTGGGAGCCGCTGGACTAACTTGGTAATAACATTTGAGGGTGGAGCCAACCCAATTTGCTCTCAATTGCTCCCCCAGTTTCCAGTCTCTCCTCCTCCTCCTCCTCCAGGCCTCCTGCCAGACTGGGAGTTCGTGAGAGCACAGACAGCCTTGCTGCTGACCCCGTTTTTGTTTCCTCAGCACCTAGCACGGTGCCTGGCACGAAGCAAGGCCCCAACAGACATGGCTTGAATGATGACATCAGCGGTTCCTGTGGGCTGGCTCCAAGTCGCCTAAATAATAACGCTGGTCCGATCATTCCCCCAGCCTCTGATGCAGCCCATTGCCTGGAAATAAAGCCTGAACTCCTCCGTCGGCATTGGAAGTCCTCTGTGATTTTCCCTGACCTCATTTTCAGGCTTACCTTCGGCTCCTCTTCGTTCCCCATCCATCTAGCCCAGCTCTTGGCGCCTAAACGGCAGTCACGATGTACCACGAACTTGATTCTCTGTGTATGCTTTTGACCTCTTCCCTTCATTCATATTGGCCCCTTCAACCCGGGATGTTTGTCCCGTCCCCACTGACGCCTGGTAAAAAATCTTCCATAAAGCCCTGACTCCACACCCATTGTTGCCAAGTTGATGCTGACTCACAGGGCCCCCGGGAGAGAGTGGAGCTGCCCCGCAGGGCTTCCCAGGTATACTCTACAGCAGCAGGCCAGCACATCTGGAGCAGCTGCTGAGGTCGAACTGCCGACCTCTTGGTTGGCAGCCACAAACTTAACCATCACGCCACCAGAACCGCGGCCTTTCTCCTGGCCTATCTTAAATGCTACTTTGCCCGGGAAGCATTTATAGTTCACCCCTTTTACCCCCAAATTATTATTATTTCTATTGCATGCTCTCATGCCGTCCCCCGAAGTCTCCTATCACAGTAACATCCTGGGCGTGGAGGGACACGGTGGACAGGGCACTGGGATTACATCTTGCACGTATCACATCTTGCACGTAGACACCGGAACAGGTCCGTGCAGCCTCCTTACCAGCTGCAGAGAGACCGTAGCACCTGCCCTGTTGCCTGTTGTCCTTGAGGGCGAGAGCGCGTACAAGGGTATTTCTGAAAGTTCATGGAACACATGGAATGAAAAGCTAATGGGTTTTGTGTCCACGAGCTTTTTGCAGCCCCCTCGTATCTGCAAAAGCACTTAGCTGATTACACCGTGATTGCATCACACGGCCCTTTTTGCTCGGCACTACCCACTGGTACAGGCGGCTTTTCTTCTTAGTAGCTGATGAACTCTGCGTGGGGGTGAGAACCAGCATCTCTGTATCTTTCCACAGCGCCACGTACAAGTAGCTGCTGGCTAAGCGCCGGTTTATTAAATGGAATTGCTCCCCAGAGGCCCCTCCCAATTCCAGGCTCTCCATTTCCCGTGGGGCGGAAGCGACTGCTCAGTCTTTCTGTTCCCACTGCAGTGGCAAGCTCCCAAACCCAGTGTGACACACGGGCGTTCCCTCCTCTGTCCCGCTAGACCCTGGCCCTGCAAGCCCTGATGTCACAGACCTGGCTGGGCATGGCCTCTTCTCCCCCGGGGCTGCCCTTACCTTTGCCAGGATGCCTTGGCGGTGCGTCCTGCAGAGATGATGGTGGAAGGCCCGCTCGAGGTTGCACTGCAGCTGCTCCACTTTCCTGATGTCTTGGAGCCCAGGCCGGCCTGAGGGACGGATGGGCCCATCGCAGGGACAAGAGAGAGCACAGACATGAAACTTGCACCCCTGAGACACATCTTGGGGACCACCAGTGCTAGACAGAGGCCTTCCCATCGGCGGTGGGGTGTGTGGTTTTTGCATTTGGTCATGGTAAGCTCTGGGGCCGTGGGCTTGGCTAGCAGTTTATAAAAAAACGAAGGGAGGGATGAAAGGGACGAGACTTCCCATTCCCCAGCTCCAAACCGCTTTCTCTCGGGTGCCCTGAGTGCACACCGCCCTTTCCTGCTATTGCAGGTGTGTGTGGGGGGGTGGCATTGGAAGAGATCACCTCTTCCAGCCACAATGACCGCAGATGGGAGGTAGCCGCAGTGAGGCTCACCCCCCACCTGTCCCCCAGGGCTTCACCAGAGCTCCACCGCTTTCTGTGGCTGGCCCAACACACAAGCCACCGTTCGCCCCAGCTCCGTAAGATTGCCAGCCGGCCTCATCGCTTCCTGCCGCACAACCCCTTCAAGCTCTTTCAAGCGCTTATTTCCAGGCTTGGGGGCACATCTTGGTCTGTACACGTGGCAGAGCCAGGAGATTGATAATCTTGACCTTCAAGCTCAGGGCGGCAACTCCCCCCACTCCCCCTAGGTTCTCTGTGTGTATTTGACATTTGGCTGGGTCAGCTCAGCCCACCCCATTCCCTGGAGGGAATGTCCCGTGGAGGCTGACACCATAGTCATTTCCTCCCCCTGCTGCTGTCAAGTCCGATTCTGACGCACAGCGACCCTAGGTGTGTCAGGATAGGACAGTGCTCGCGTCGGGGTGCCGGATGCCTGACTTTTCAGAAAGGGACCCCCAGGCTGTCGTTCTCCTGAGGTGCCTCCTAGTAGACTCGAACCTCCAACCTTGAGACTAACTGCTTTCTCTCGCTCACCCAGGAGCTCCGTTCCAGGCACACCATCTTAAAATGAGTTTACCCGGGCAGCACATGGCAATCAGCTGGGGGAGCTTCTGAAATTCCGTGGGTGCCCAGGCTGCCCTCCCACGCCCCCCACCCCGACCAAGTACCCAGAGGTCTCTGTGAGGGGGCAGCCTGGCGTCAGCAGCCTCGGAAGCTCACCAGGCCGCTCCAAAGAGCAGCCTCGGCTCGTTCAGTGACACAGCGCCCGGGCCTGTTCTCCGCACGCACCCCCGCCTCTACCACTCTTCTCCTCCCAGAAGCCCCTCTGCATTGCCATGAGACCCCCCGCCCGCTCCCCAGGCAGCAATGCTGGGTGGGGCTCAGACTGCTATTTAAAGCGATTCCCCAGTCTTAACCACTTCCTAAGGACTGGCGCTGAAGACCGGTGCTGGCGTAGTTGGTGATGCCTTGGTCTAACCACAAGGTCAGCAGTTCGCACCCATTGGACGGCAGTGGTTTTCGTCTCCCTTCCCCAGCCCCATGGGCCAGGGTCCCCAATGTCCCCCATGCCTGAGTGGCCCAGGCCTGCGCCCAGCCTCACTCACTGGCGTTGATGAGAACCAGGGCTGTGTAGAGGGCAATCTCGTCCTCAGAAAAACGTAAGGCACTCAGGGAGTGGGCGAAGTCAAAGATGGCGCTGATCAGCTCGCTGCAGCCTGGGGGTGGGGGTGGAAACGGGGAAGAATGAACGAGGTGGCTGAGATGACAGACAGAGCCCAGGGCGCTTGTGACGATCGATCGTCCCAGGTCACGAAGCTTTGGAGGGGGTTAGCATCAGACTCCTCTCTCTCATCCCCCCTGCCCCTCACCCAAGGCTCGGAACAGCTCCACGCCTCCGTATTTGCCTTCAAAGAAGACCGTGTGGTTGTCGGCGTTGTAGGCCCGGCACATCCTGACCAGCACCACTTCCATGGCTCCTGGCCGTGAGGACAAACAGGGACAGGGACAGTGTCAGGAAAGAGGGGAACCTTTCCTGCCCATCCCTCGTCTCCCCCGCTTCCTCAGCACCCCCCGCCCCACCCCTTGATGTCCCTGCTTCCTCAGGCCACCTCCCTCTACAAGCCCAGCCCCTTCCCGTGATCAGCCCGGCCCCCCGAACCTGCTTTCAGCAGCACGATCTGGTCATTCTGGCAGAGCTCCATGAAGCCCACCAGCCTCTTGGCGAACTCCACCACATACTGGATGGCCTCGGTGAGGCGGTGGGCACAGTGCTCCCACATCTCCCACATGGACTGCAGAGAAGGAGGAGCGGCCGTGGTCACCCTGCATGTGCCCATGCCCCCAAAGCCTTCCCAGCACCTACACTGCCACCACGGGACTTTCCCAGCACATTCTTGGCGTGAATGCACACACAGGGATCGAGTCCTGCCAGTCAGCCACCGAGCAGCTCAGCTAGGGGCACGGGCACTGTGTGAGTTATTGTGGGAGAGGACAAAAGCCAAGGAGGTAGAGATCTGCCCTCCAAGAGCAGGCATTAAGAATAGCCCCAAAGGTCTAAACAAGGAGGATGCTGAACTGGCTGAATCCGTTCACTCGTGGCTGAAGAATGAGCCTGAGACAGATATGCATGTGCAAAGCTGTGGGTGCCCAGAGCAATAACTGGGACGTGAGGAATTCCAGGTCAACCCTGGGGAAGAAGCGGCCTGGTGGGCCCTGTCAGGAGCCCAATGATGGATTCTTGCCAGGACTGCGGCGTGTGACATGTTCAGAACATCACGGCCCACTGCGAGCAGGGCACCGTTGTTTCAGACTCTGCCAGTCAAGAGCCCTGGTTGTTGTGCATTGCATATGCGGCACGTATTTTCTAAAAAGGACATTAAGTTTCCAACGGCATCAACCCGTGATGTTCTTAGTCATGGCTGGTCTTCCAGGAATGCACAGGTTGTAACTTCTGGTCTGGCTCAGCATGGCTTCCTCAGCCAGTCAGAACCAGGAAGGACAAGTGTGAAGCCCTGTTAAGCACCAAGTGAATGCTCCCGCTGCCCAGGGGGTCCCGGCAGAGCATGCTAGGAGACGGCGTGAGCATTGCGGCCACCCTTAAGTCTTGTCAGCACAGCCAATCCTTAGCTAGGCTTCCCAGTCAGTTAAAACAGGACTAAACATCAAGCGCCTTGGTTGGTGGCTCTAAGTTTATGTAAAGCATCCAGCGCAGTGCCTGGTAGAGACGGAGTGCTCGGCCAGTGGTTGTCAGAATTACAGTGATTGCTATTATTAATGGAGGAGGAGAGAGACTGAGTGAAATTTTAATAAGTAAAGCTCACCGATCTGCCAGGGTTTAGACCTGCGGTTCTCCACTTGTGGGTTGTGACTCCTTTGGGGGTCAAATGACCCTTTCACAGGGATCGCCCGATTCATAACAGTAGCAAAATGAGTTATGAAGTAGCAACGAAAATAATGTTATGGTTGGGGGTCACCTCAACATGAGGAACTGTATGAAAGGGTCGTGGCATTAGGAAGGTTGAGAACCACTGGTTTAGACCTACAACACACAGGTCTCTCTCTCTCACAGACACACGCACACACACACACCACCGTACTTTAGGTGGGTGGGGACACAGACACCCGTCTGTGACACCTGGGCCCACCTGAGTCCACTTTTGTGTACCTGGAGCCATCTTTGGACCCTCCTACTGGCAGTGGGTGTCCACCCTTCCTGACATGTCCCCCACCTCACCTTCCTCTGGTAGCTGGTCACCTCTTCCCGTGAGAAGATGTTGGGGCGCTGCCCTAGCAGGTCCTCCAACCGCAGTTGACACGTCTCCCGGTACGACTTACACACGTTCTGCACCAGGTGCTCTGGGCCAGGGGAGGAAGGCAGGGGTATGATCGTGGCCAGCCCCTGCCCCTGCCCTTACAAGGGACGCCTCAGCCCAGGGCTACCCCCACTCTGCAGCCTCCCTCCCTTCTTGCTGCTCGAGGGCTCTCTTTGGAAGCCCCTCCCTCACCTTCGCGACCCCCTCCCCCTCCCCAGGTGCTCACCGATCTCCGTCAGGGAGGCATAGGGTGTCTCAGGGGTGCCTCGGAAACTGGGGCTACTGCCATCCAGGCTCCGCCCTAGTTCCCCCAGCCCAGGATGCCTGGGCTCTTCAAAGCGAAGTCCACATCTGTCAGGGGTCAGCTGGCTGCCTGTGCTATAGAAGCCCTCTCTGGCCTCGGCCTTGCCCCGCTCAGGGCTGTAGTCGAGGTGGTACGAAGCCCCGTGGAGCCCTGCCTTGGCCAAGTGGCTGGAATATGAAGGCCCCGAGCCTGGGCCTCTCAGGAGGCCAGGGGGACAGGCAGAGGCCTCGGGCAGGTCTGGTGAGGCACCCAGGGGCAGCTGTCTGTCTGGGAGCCCCGGGGTGTAGGTGAGGGTGTCTGTTCCCTGGGCCCCGGCAGGAGGAGTCCTGGCCACTTGATCCCGCTGCTGCTGCTGCTGCTGCTGCTGCCTCTGCAGTTGTTTCTGCACTTCCGCATGCAGGCTGTCCCTCTGCTTCTTGGACATGCGGCCGAACTTGACAGCTGGAACAGGTTTGAGGGCTCAGGGTTTGAGGCAGGAGAACATGACACAGGCCAGGGACAACGGGGCACTGCGATCAACTCAGGATTCGCTTGGTGCCCCCTGAATGGCTGACTGTGCTCAGAATTTCCCCAGAGCCGCCCCTCAGGGAGCGCTGAGGATCCTGGCTGGGCCCACCTTTCTCTCCTGGTGGCATCTGTGGGGGTGTCTGATCAGATCCCTGCTCATCTCAGCCCAGAGCCCACACCTCCAACTCTAAACCAGCTTCTGCCGGGGGTCACGTTCCAGGAATGCCCCCAGGCTGGGGGTGGTCAAGTGGAGGCCCTCAGGCTGTATTGGGGTCACCTCCTCCCTGTCTGGGAGGGCCGGAGGAAGAGGAGTGCAGAGAACACAGGTCTCCCTGTGGTCAGGCCTGCAGCTCCCGGGTGACCTAGATATTCACCACAGCCCAACCCAGACTGCGCGGCTTGTTTCTGAACATCCTCTTCTGCTGCCTTTTTGCTCCCCCCCCCCACCGACCCCTCCCAGGTGTGGGGGCACAGCCCCTCGGCACCCCTGTGAGCTTCCTTTCGCTCTGTTATTTTGGGCACTGAAAAGTGCTGACAGGCTCCTTCTGGCTCCCCCTCACCTCATGCCTCCCCCACCCCCCTGGGCTCCCTGTGTGGTGGGCGCGGGTGGGGAGAGGGGCCTGTCCAAGGTGGTGGTGGTGGTGGTGGTGAGGAAGGTGGATGAAGGCACCAGGAGCGCCAGCCCTCCCCCTCCACCCCCTCTGTGCCTCCTGGGTGGCTCTCTAGCTGCCTCTGGCTCCATGCCAGCCACAGACCAGTGCCCAAGAAGGGAGAGGAGCTAGAGCCAGGGAGCAGGAGGAAAAGGTTTGGACACCGGATGGGATCTGGGCCGGAGGGCAGGTGGAGGGAGGGCACTTCATCCCAAGGAAGAACACACGAGACGTCCTGAGGCGTGGGGGAAAGGCCAGGCCGGCCTGCTGTGTGCTCTGAGTTGCCATTGAGTTGCTAAGGGGCTCACGCCCACCCACGTCTGGTCTGCGGAGGACAGCTGCCCCAGAGGGCTCAAGCTGTGACCTTTCAGAAGTAGATCTCCTGGTCAGTCTTCCAAGGCATTTCTGGGTGGCTGTGGGCCGCCAACCTCTCAACTAGTCCTAGAGCGTCAGTTTGTGCCACCCCGGGGTCCCTGGGATGTTCTAACAGAGCCTAACGTTGAAGGCGCCCAAGAACTCCCCTGGTGTGACCCTCCCCTGCCCATTGTGGGCAGTGTGGGAGAAGAGGGGAGAGTGGCGAGTTGACCACAGGCGGGCCAGTTTGGCTGGTTCAGGGGCCGGGCTGCCTCCCTGGGAGCCTCAGGAAAGGCCGAGTGGCTGCCGGTGTGGCCTTACCATCTCGGGACATGCCCAGGGCCAGGCATTTCTGCAGGCGACAGTGCTGGCACCGGTTTCGGCTCGTGCGGTCGATGGGGCAGTTCTGTTGACGGGTGCAGGCGTAGGCCACGTTGCACTGCTGGCTCCGGCGGAAGAAACCCTGGGCGAGGCAGACAGAGACTCCGTGCCTGTCCCAGCCAGGCCCACTCAGTCCTGAGGACCTCCACCCCACAGGGTCCGGCTTCCGGACAACTCTGGCTCAGTCCTCCTCCTGCAATTACTTCCCCAGTGCAGCTATGGCATCCCTGAGCCAGGGGCTGTTAGGTCAGGCCCCCTGCCCCCATAGCTCCCCATCGGGAGACCACCCTGAGCCCAGTGGAAGGCCTTCTCATGCGCCCCCACCTCTGCAGAGACTGTGCATGGGCGTGCTCGCGCGAAGGCCGCCCCTAACTCACCTTGCACCCCTCACAGGTGATGACCCCGTAGTGGATCCCAGATGATTTGTCCCCACAGATTTTGCAAGGGATCACTTCAATTTGTGCTGAAAGAGGGAATGAGAAGGTCGTCAGCCTGGCCCCTCTTCGGCAGCACCCCACCTCCCCCAGCACGGCGCTTCTTCCTGGTCTCCAATGGGCTCAGCTGGCCATTTCGCCCCATGCAGTAAGGAAGGGGAAGTAAGACCATGCTGCTCGGCAAGGGGCTGTGGAGCTGGCTGTCCTTTTTGGTGGGGGGGAGGGGTGTGTGCCAAGGAGGGAGCTAGGAGTATCCACTCTATGGGGGCCAAGAAAGAAGCTGCAGAAAGGACACCTGCACAGCCTTTCAAGTTGAAAAGCCCCAGTTGCATCCCTCCCCCTTGGGGACACAGGGGTCCCCACTGCCTCACAGCACCTGTTTCCCGCCCAAGGGGCTTCCGTCATGCCCTGCCCCCTCGAGCCCTGCTCCTGTGTGGAGGGTGAGCTGGGGGCTGTGAAGACTCGATGCCCAGGGCAGGGGCCAAACAAGGAAGCCAGCGCCCTCTGTCAGGCAAGGAGGGGGGCGGAGGGCTTCACTGAGGCCGAGGGCTCAGGAGGGACAGGCTGCCACGCAGGACCCCATCCCAGAGGCTGGGGACAAGCCCGAGATGGAGCCCAGCCGGGTTCTTGCCTGAGTGGCGGTGTGGAGAGAGGCTGGCTGTGCACAGTGCATGTACGAGTGTGTACCTGGGCGTCTGTGTCCCACTAGGTGTGCATAGATCACAAGTGTGAAAACCCATGGGGCCCCGAGACCCCCTGTTCTGCTTGTCTTCTACAGATGAAGAAACCTGTGGGCAGGGGGAGAAGGGTCTGGCCAACATTCAGACAGCCGGTTCTCCTGGGTGTCTTTCTGTCAGCCTGTCCTGGGCCATGACTTGGGGGAACACCACATACCCATGGGCATGTTTGTTTCTCCTGTGTGTGTGTGTGTGTGTGTGTGTGCGCGCGCGCGCACACACACATGCCATGTGCAAGCACATACATTGGAGGGTGACTGGACACGACCCCAGATGCTCTCTCCTGCTGGGCCCAGTTCAGCTTGCCCTGCACCCCACCCCTTCACCGACGGCCCCAACTTTGTTGTCCTATCTTTGCCTGTGTCCACTACTCTGTTGAGTTCCAGGGGCCACGGGAGGCCTCGCCCCACCAGTCTTTGAAGGGGAATTGGGCAAAGCTTGCAGTCCCTGGTGAGCAGGTGCTTTTAGCACTAGCAAGGGCAAGCAGGGGCTCCTCAGTGCCCTCACTAACTTGCCATCTCCCCTCTGAGGGGGCGCACCTCCTGTGGTCTAGGCTCCCCCTTATTTCTGACCCATCTTGGCTTCCAAGAGGGCAAGTCCTCATTCCTGTGAGGTGTACCCCGAGCCCCAGACTTGGACTCCGGTCACTTGTAGTCCTGCGGCGGATGTCATGTGGAATGGTGATCATCCCTGGACCCAGGGCTCCTCTGAGCACCATTTCTTTCCTCCTAAGACCTCCTTCGACAGCCAGCCTGGAGCTGATAGAGCCCGCTTCCTGGGGGACCCAGCCCTCTGGTGTCTCAAATCCCTCCATTAAAACTGGATTCCTTTCCCTGACTCCCAACCCCACTGCGCCCCCCCCACCCCAGCACCCACAGTGAGTCCTGGCCACCCCAGACCAGAGGGCAGGCAAGCTTGTCCTTTCTTTCTCCCACCAACTTTCCAATACATGAAGTAAAATACCAATTCTCTCCAGGAAATTAGGCACCTGTTTCAGTGCACAGGAAGGAAGGGAGAACAGAGGTGACCGGTAGGCTGGGAGGGGGCTGGAAAACAAGGGTGCCCTGCCCAGCAAGCCTCTGAGATTCTCTTAGAGCCCGGTGCCCTCGTCAGCTAGACTGAGCTACAGTCCAATGCCCGCTGTGGAGAGCTTGTGCCTGGAGGAAAGGGAGGGGGAGGGGAGGCCAGGGAACTGAGCTGGTAGAAGGGACTGGTAAAGGAGCCCCCTAGATTCTGCTCCTGCCCCAGCCCTTCCTCCTCCAGTGCTGTGGGGACACTTGCTCAGTGGCCCTACAGGCACGGAGGAGAGACACCAGCATGGCTCACCCAGAGCAGTAAGCAGGAGGGAGAGGAGGCCAAGCCACAGTGGGAACCTGGACCCCAGCCCAGCAGTCAACCACAGGCCTCCGGCCTCATCCCTTCTCCAGGAGCCACATCCGTGTGCGTGTGTGTGCTGACCACATGGGTGACCCCAGCCACGTCTCCCTGCCCCTGGCCTGACCTGCTGCTTGACCTGGCCCTAAGGACTTCACAGCAGCGTCAGGCCCTGCCTTTCTCATCCGAAGATGTGGCCAGGGTCAAGCGCCTCCTTGACTCATGCCCATGCCTGGTGGGTGGCAGAGGCTGGGACCACAGACAGAGGTGCCCTGTGGGAAAGGCACAGAGAGGCAGGACCACTGTGAGGGGGCGTGAGGCCCCTCGCCTCTGAGCCAGAGAGGGAACAAACAGAGGCATGGGCCCAGAGATGGAGACACAGCCCCTTCAAACAGAAAAACCCCAACTCATGTCCTGGACTGATGCCCAGCCCATGATGTACACCCCCAGCACCCTCAGAGCCTCCTTCCCCTCCCCTACCACTCATCGATCTGCCCCTCAAAGAGAAAGTAGGAGTACGCGCATGCGCCATAGCTGACTCGTGGAGGAGGGGAGAGGAAGGGGACTGACACGGTGGTGTGGCAGTGGGCAGATGCTGAAAATAAAAGCAAAATAAAACAAACCCAAACACCTGCAATAGCTCACCTTCAACCTCAGGCCCCGCGGCGGATGGTGAGAACCCAGATTGGGGAGGGGGAGCTGAGTAATCACAGGATTACTCAGACGATTGCCCGGGAGCCTAGCTTGCCAGGAACTTACCGTTTAAGGCCCTGCCCGTGCCAGGAACTAGAGTCCAGTAAAGGTCAGGAAGCCAGAGGCTAGCCCCTGCATAGCTGACTTCCACAGGAATACCTGCTGTGCCCCGCACCTGCCGCTGCCTTGGGAAGGAAGGCCCCGGTCTCTCCGGCCACTCTCTCCCGAGACACTCAGAGGAAGCCCTCCCTGCTCAAGGTGGTCTGGAGGGCTTGTTTGGAAACATGTAACTGGTGGCCCTCCCCTCTGGCTACATTCTGAATAGCAAGGGACCTGCCCCCCCCCTTTTTTTTCCATTTCCCCCCAGTAGTTTTATTATTATAAAATCCACATATCAGACACTGTCACAGTCCAGTTGCTATTAAAAAGAGTTGTATATACATCATCACCATCAGTTCTACTGCAAAATCCCCTCCCCCCATCTCACACGCCTTTTCCTGCTCTTCCTGCTTCCCGGACAAGGCCCCCTGTGCCGAGCAGACTAAGGGTGGCCGGTCACCAGTACAGTGGTGCTGCGGGAGAAAGGCCTGGCGGCCTGCTTCCCTGAGGATTGGAAGCACGATACCCACATGCAGCAATTCTACTCTGTGATTGGAGTTGGCGCCCACTCAACTGGCAACTTTTATTTATCTATTTTTCCCAGCTCCTCCCGGGGCACAGGGCTGGGCAGATGGTCTGCACCCAACCCCTGTATCTGCCCCATGGCCCAGCCTGACTGTTAGCACTTCGTGTTCTGAACTAGAACTAGGAAAAGCAGACATAAGACTGAATCGACTTGTTTGATTTCCCTGGAAGGTTGCGGGATCCCCACCCCCACCACACCCCAGCATCCCAGCAGAAGTTCCTAAGAGTGGAAATACAGTAGAGGCCAAGTCGTCCCTCCTCCTCCACCTGGCAGCCCCTCTGCTCCGCTGGCTCACAGCTGCGAGATTCATTGATAGTGCTTTCTGAAGGCATCCAGAAGCCTGGCCTCAGCCACCTCAGTTAGGAAGCCACCCCTTGGGCCCTATCCAGGTGTCCTAGGCCACAGAGAGGAAGTGGTAGGAGCAGAGGAGGGGCTGCAACCTAGAGAGGCCGCCCGCTCCCTTCGAACCCCAGGGCCACCCCAGCCCTGTGAGGAACGGGTCTTCGTCTCCTCCCGACACCTTCTCAGCCCAGAGCTGGGCCCTTTCCCCTCCGCTGCCCTTTTCCCCACTGGATACTGATGACGGCGGGACAGCGATGCAGATGGACACATCGAGAGTCAGTTCTCCCGCCGGCCCCAACGTTTTCCTTTAAGACCAACAACCCTAAGGAGCAGGGAATACCACTGTCGTCCCTGATTTACAGACGAAGGGAGAAGGGACTGATGCCCAGAGAGCAGGCCTGATAGGGTCCGAGTGGCAGGTCTGGCCTTTGAACCACGTCTCTTCCCTCTAGGCCTGGTGCCTTCAACCACTAAGCTCTGTGCCCTGTACGAACAAGCCGCCCAAACACCCTCCAGAGAATGGGGAGAGGAGAATGGGGGATGTGGGCTGGTGATGGGATTGGGGAGGGAGCCCTTGAGAGATGTTATTCCTTCTGTCCTAACTCTCCCCTCTCCCCTCCTCCTGTCCCTAGCCCTGTTTTGGAGGTGGGCTTCCAGGGCCAAGGTGGAACAACTTGGCCACCTCCATAGAACTTCGGACTCTTGTGGATGACCACTGCTTTGTTAGGGGTGGCCTGGCTTTTATACACGTCTCTATAGGCCTCTCTTTTTGAGAGAAACGAATGACCACCAACTAGCAAGGAGGCCCCAGCCTCCCCTCCACCCCCCTAAGCCTAAGCACCCCTTTCCCCACTGAGACCACAGCTTTAGCGGGCAGGCCTCTGTGCTGACCAGCCTGGCCCCAGCTCCCTCCTTTCTCTGTTCTCAGTTCCCCAGGCTTCTGCCACACTGGGAACCAAGGGGGTAGATGCCACCACAGGGGAGCAGAAGAGGGGGGCTGGGTGGTTCTCTGGTGGCCTCGGGCCCTTCCCCCAGCCTGGGGCCGGAGACTTTTCTGCTGAGACACTCAGATCCCAGGGCTGAGAAAATTGTGAAGCTAAAACTCAGGTGGGCGAGGGAGAGTCTGGGGCTTTGAAAGGCCACGAAAGACAGACAGACAGCCACCTGAAACCCCCTCGTGGTGCCCCCGCCACCCCCG